TGATCAAATTCAATAAAAGTTTTTTAAATTAATTCTACAAGTTTGTAAAAATTATTTAAAAAAATTTTTATTAAATTCAGTCAAGCTTTTGTTAAGTTATTCTTGTTTAAAGTTATAAAAAATTTTTATTATAAAAAATTTGCTTGATTTCTATTGATTCACCCCCATATATCCAAAGTTATTTCCTGAACGATCATTCACACATAAATTTCTTGTCTCAGGATTGAAAACTGTCATTGTGGAAATACCAAGTAATTCACCAAATGCTGGCAGTGTAGTGCAGAGATTGATTCCAAAACTTCTTTCACAACTAGAAAATGTAAGTATACCTTGTAAAATTCATATAGGCCGTTACTCATAATTAACATAACATGATATAAGTCAAAGGCCACGTACGAAGTGCAAATGGATACTTTGGATATCCTAAGCGAGCTTCTTGCTCGTTTTGGTAGCTCGGTGGGTAACAATGTAGCATCTCAAAAACGGATCCAGAACGTTTTGGTACCTCTGTTGAGCCATTCGCGCCCAGCATTTAGAAAGAGAACTACTACTGCTCTTGGTATGCTTAAGTTTTGATATTAATCATTTTACTGTCAGAGGATATTGACCGCCTTAACGATATAGGTAATCTCGTGACACATACTCCTGATGATTTATTTAACGAGCTTGTGCAAAAATTATTGGCTGAATTTGAAAGGGCTCAAAATCAGAAAGATAACTTAAAAACTCTAATTCAATGCGTTGGCACATTAAGGTACGAATACTTAAATTTAGAATCCTCAATGTATGTAAAATTAAATACCATTAATAGAATGATATTAATTTAAAGCCGCTCGAGTGCTCCACGACTAGGAAAGTATTTACCTCAATTCCTACCGCTGGTGTTCGTCAATATTAACATAAATGATGATGAATTGCGCGAAAATTGTTTACAGGTGAATATATTTTATGATAATACTTTAAAAATTTAGTTGTTTCTAGGTAACATTAGTGTACAAAAAATATTATCAGGCGCTTGAATCTTTTGTATTGCGATGTCCAACGGAAATTACACCAAACATCAACACCATCATCGAACTTGGCTTAGTATATTTGAAATACGATCCTAATTATAACAGTGATGATATGGCTGATGATGATGATGATGCTAATATGGACGAAGATGAGGAAATGGCAACTGAAGATGAAGAGGAAGAGGAAGATGATGAGTGTGTACTACATGATTCATGACATGTTATTTTGATATGCCTAAATATTTACTGTATATGCACGTCCATTCATAGGGATTATTCTGATGACGATGATATCTCTTGGAAAGTGCGCCGTTCTTCGTCGAAACTCCTGGCTTCTATTATCGGCACAAGACACGAGCTTCTCTCTCAAATATATACTAATGTTGCACCAGCTTTAGTCAGCCGATTTAAAGAGCGAGAGGAGTCTGTTCGAGTGGATATACTTCAAACGTTCATTGTTCTTCTCAGGCAAACACATGTTTATGGTGGGGATGGTTATATTCCAAGAGAAAATGATCACGAGCCAAAGCGAAGAAGAGCCATTGGTCCAAGTGAATCACAAGAAAGGTAATATAATTTGTTTTTAATTATATTATTGGGTCAAATATTATAATAACACATTTTGCTTGCAACTAGCCCCAAACAGATGCTGCGAAACCTGGTTCCGAGACTAAGCCGTAATCTTTCTAAACAACTTGTCTCCAAATCGATTATAACGAAACAGACAGGCTTTCTGCTTCTACGAGAATTAGTCACAGTATTAAATGGGGGACTTGATAATCATCTGAATACTTTTATACCTGCGATTGAGAGTTCTTTATCTACATCGTCAGATACATCACACCATCATGCAAGCACAAACTCTAATCTTAAGATAGAGACTTTAAGTTTCCTTCGGCAGTTGTTTAAAGTTCATCCACCCCAAGTTTTTCATAAGTATCTTGCACGATTATGCCCACCAATAATCTCATCCGTACAAGATAGCTTTTATAAAATAACATCTGAAGCCTTTTTGGTCTGTATTGAATTGATTAAAGTAATCCGTCCTATCGAATATCAGGAGAACACGCAAACATACAATGTGCAACCACTCAACCCTGAGTTCCGAAGATTCATACTGGACATTTATAATGTTACTATTGCGCGTCTTTCAACTCCTGATGCAGATCAAGAAGTCAAGGAACGATCTATAATGTGTTTGGGAGTTCTTATTTCACAAGCCGGAGATAATTTGCAAGATGAACTTAAAGTGTGTATGCCAATATTATTGGAACGCCTGCGAAATGAAGTTACTCGCTTGACTACTGTCAAGACCTTCACGAATATAGCTGATAGTACTATATGTGAAAGTGAAGATGTAAAGATAGCGATAATAGGTGCAATTCAGGAAGTTGCGAGTCTCCTTAGAAAACACCATCGTCAACTAAAAGTAGCGGCTTTAGTATGCCTTGAAGTATTTGTGCGCCGGTACGTTTATAGCTAAACTTCATTATGTAAATATATTGCTTTATATTATTCTCACCATTAAAGAACATAAATAATCATAGGTATGGAAAATTCCTTACTGCAGAGAGCTATTCCCACGTTCTTGTAGAATTAACGCCTCATATTTCCGACCAAGACCTCCATTTATTACCATTGGCATTGAACACAGTGGTTTCTGTTCTACGTACTAATCCCGCCTCATTAGACCCTGTAAACAATGATATTCTACCGTCAATTTTTCAACTTGTGCAGTCGACTCTCGTTCAAGGGGCCGCATTGGACAGTTTACTTGTTTTATTCCGTACCTTGATTGAAACTGATGAAGATCATTTCAATAAACTATTGAATGGACTATTGTCTCCTATTCAAAAGAGTCAAGATCCTAATCAATTAACCCTTTCGAAGCAGGTAGGATTATTTATCTATGCACTTCTGCATATTATAATTATTATTTAAGTGCGTTTTTGTTTCTCATAAAATTTCGTTGATCTACAGGCATATTCGACGATTGCACAATGCATTGCCACAATATGTGTAGCATCAAATAAATACCGTAACCAAACCGTCATTGACTTTTCAAGGAAAATAGCAGTATGTAAAGCTTTTGACATGCTAAATGCCTGACCTTGATTAAATTAAGATGTCATGCCTATTTGATTTTTATTCTAGGCTCAAAACCAGTCAGACTCTATAAAATACCTCTGTCTGTTGACTTTGGGTGAAATTGGGCGTAAAGTGTAAGGGTTTTTTTTTTGCGTTATTTGTACTTGTGCATAGATCAATGATTTTTATTAAATAATTAATTTAATTAATTCTCTTGGTATAGCGATTTGAGTGCGCACTCAAATCTTCATGTGACTATATTGGCTCTGTTCTCAGCACAATCTGAAGACATCAAATCAGCCGCTGCTTTCGCACTTGGAAATGTTAGTGCTGGCAATGTCAGCAAATATTTACCGATTGTCATTTCAGAAATCAACACTGATCAAAGGAAGCGGTATTTGTTGCTACATTCGCTTAAAGAGGTGTGTAAATGGAACCTTAAAAATTTATTGCCTTGGTTATATTTATATTTATCTTTTTTCTTTTTTTTTAGATTATTTCGCGATATTCTAATGAAGATGGTGTCAAAGCATTAGGACCTTTTGCCGATGATATTTGGTTTGTAACAGTTTATCCCAGAAATTATATATCGACTTTCACGTCAGCATCAGTAATATATGGTTGAATTTTAAATGTGCATAGGAATATATTGTTTCAAAGTGGTGAAAATATAGAAGAAGGAACTAGAGGTGTTGTGGCGGAATGTCTTGGAAAATTGACCTTAGCAAACCCAAATAAATTTCTGCCTGAATTACAGGTATAACCGAATTTCACATTTTATTTTTTATTTTATTTTATTTTATTTTTGTTAAATACTAAAATCTTACTTTCTAGAAACGTCTTCGATCTGATTCTGCACAAACTCGTGGCACTGTTGTCACAGCCATCAAGTTCACCTTTATTAATCAAGGCCAAGAATATGATGAGCTGCTACGACCTCTTATTGTTGATTTCTTGTCTTTGATTCAAGATAACGATTTGGTTTGTTTATTATCGGTTTTTTTAGTGATATTATTACTTTAAGCGTATAGTTTTAATGGTGGTTTTATATTAACATTAGAACGTCCGGAGACTTTCATTATCTACACTGAACTCTGCCGCACATAATAAGCCTTATTTAATTCGTAATGTTTTAGATCAACTATTACCATTACTTTATGAAGAAACACTCGTTAAGGTTAGCTATCTAGGACCTACTTTATAGATGATTGTTTACAAGTATAATAATCTTTACTATATTTAGGATTCTCTTATCCACATGGTGGAGATGGGGCCATTTAAACATAAAGTAGATGATGGTCTTGACATCAGAAAGGCAAATGTTTATTGATTTACAGTATGTCATTTTCTCCTTTTGATTATTTAAGTACTAAATCAACATTCACATGTTAGTCTGCATACGAATGTATGTACACATTGCTTGAAACTTGTCTTGACAAGCTGGAAATTTTCAACTTCCTTACTCGTGTGATTGAAGGATTATCCGATCAACATGATATCGCTATCCTCTCGCATACAATGTTAATACGGTTGGCCCATGTTGCTCCAACTGCCGTTTCACAAAGTTTGTATAACTTCATTAATATACAACACAAAATTGAATTGCCTATAACTAGACACTATTGGTTTTAAAAATAGGGTTGGATGAAACAGTAGAACCATTGAAAGGAACCTTATCATATAGAATGAAAGATAACGCAGTCAAATCGGAAATCGATAAAAATAATGAATTATGTCGATCTGCTGTTAGGACTGCTGTAGTTCTGAACAAACTTGCCGAACAAGGTACGTTATCATTTTTGTGTAATAGATCTATACCGTAGTTCTCAAAATATCTTCCAATGATGCAATTTCCTATTGGACCTGTTGTTTTAAGAATTTACGGTAGACTTACCATGTTGTAGTTTGTCACAGCTCAGATTAGAGTTGCAATTACGCCTATAATTCGCATTGCTGATATTTCATTAATTTATTTATTTATTTTAATAGCCGGAAGTACGCCTAAATTCGACGCATTCGTGAAAGATACCAAAATTGGATCATGGAGTGATCAATATAATATTTATCAAAATGAATTGGAAAGTAAGGAATCTGGCTCGGGGCACGTTGGTGATAGCATGGACACGTCGTAATGTATTTCAGGCATGCTGCCAAAAGGAGAAAAAAAAACGCTGCTAAATCAGGTCAATATGTATAGTACGAATGATTAATGATTAAATCGACAATATATAATTGATATTGAAGAGACTTAAAGAGATGATTATATACGGTTGCTTCTTGCTATTTATTCACTATAATGAATATCGAATTTTAAGTACCTGTATCGAGGGTTTTTTTTGCATTTAATTATTCAATAAACCTTGCGATCTTGATTGTATAATTAAAATTTTTAATTCATACAGGGAAATCTCCAAATTCCGGGTCGGAATGCATCGGAATCCTGATCGGCAGGGCTGAATTTAGTCAGTCATTAAGTAAAAAATGCCCAGCTGATAATTTGCTAGACTCATTGCAAAATGCCAACGCATTCCAACCCGGAAATTTGGGATCCTCTTGTAAAATATGCTAGTGCTTTAATATTATTTTAACTCTTTACCATTACAATACGTACGTACGTACGTACATGGTTTTAAAAAATTAGTCTCAATTTTGTCACGGCGGATTCTCGATTTTGATTGGCTAACGGCCGTGATCGATAAAACTTTGCCAGCGTTACATCATTTTTTACGTAATTTTCAGCCGGATAGTTTTAAAGCACATTTAAATAATCTTTTAGATATTTGAGATTTAATAGAGTTGTATTGAAGATCTTGTTTAACTTTATAAACATACATATATATGCTTTAGTTTGCAAAGCCAAAGCTTACTTTTTAATTGATACATTTTAGATCTACTGTAGATTTTAATAATTTAAATTTTATAATTATTGTAATTAGAGTTCTATTTGGTAATACAGTATTATTAATTAATTTTAAAATATATACAGTCGACTCTGGATATAACGAACCTTTTTATAACGAACACACTATATATGAACTTTTTTTTTCAAATTTAATATAAGTTCGGTATATAAAATATAGTAAATTACTATATAACGAACTTTTAAAAATTTTTACTATAAGACTCGTCAGTTCGTTATAAACAGAGTTGACTGTATCTATAGTACTATAATACAGTATAAACTAGTAAATAAAATTATATATAATTAGAATCATCTTTTCTTGTTTATCACTTGTACAAAATTTTCTAGCAAAAAATCTGTTATATAATTGAATAACTCCAAATTTTATTAAGCTAACTAGCTTTTTGTTTTTAAATAAACAAGTTTTATTTATAAAAATACAAATAATATTAAAGTTTTAAATCATTAACTTATTAAATTAAAGGCTTTTTTTCTTGAATCAATCTTTGCATCTATTCCAAATATTCTACTTTTAAAAAACAACTTTGCTACTATTACTTACTTTTCTTTGATCAACTTATTATATCTAACAACTTTTATTTTTTAGATGGATACATATCTCTTTTAGACTTAACAAAATTTCAAAAGAAAAAATTCTCTTTTGATTTACTTATCTTGAAAGCCAAACTATTAACTTTTTTAAATATTCTCTTCTATTCAATTAATAACTCTTTTTTTTCAATTACTATAACTATAATATTAGCTACTTCTACAAGCATTCTAAGCCATGGCTAGTGATTGAATCTAAATAGGTGCTATCTGGGTTACCTGCAAATAGATGGGTAATCTAGGTAAAGTTTTGGCTATCTAGATGAAAGCAAATAAATCACCTAGCAGATAACCTATAAACAATAATTGTAACTTTAATCCAAATATATACTTGTATATATATTAATTGCTTTTTTTTTAAAAAAAAAACTTTTAAAATAGGTTTTATATTAAACTAAATACTTATTAATAAATTGGAAGTAAAATTTTAAATATTATTATTTTGATAAAATTTTTAACCAATCTAAATAAAATAACTATTTTATTTTTATAGCTGTTTTTATAAATTCTAAAACAACTAAAAAAATTGCTAATAACTAAATTGATAAGTTACCGAGTTAAAATCAATAAGTAACTGACTTCTGAAGCTTATTGATTTGATTATTAGTAATTTTTTTAGTTGTTTTAGAATTTATAAAAATAGCTATAATACTCTATTTTCACTTAGATGATTTATAAATCTATCTAAAGGATTGCTCTTTTAACCTATCAAAATTCTACTCGAGTGGCTTATGGGCCTACTTACAGATGATCTGAGTAGCATTTTTTTGACAAATCCAATTACTAGCCATAGCTCATCACTTTTATTAACAATTAAATAGTTATTAGTAAAGCTTGTTACTAGTCAAATAACTTTAAATATACTTTAATAAACTACTAGCAATACAATATAACAAATTACTAATTTTAACCCTATCACCTGCTCCTATAACCACAGCTTTATGCTTTAAGAGAAGTAACAAAAATCAGATAATTTTTTAAGAAAGAAGGTGGGTAAAAAAAGTTAAAATTATATATAAAGACCTGATTAATTATATAATAAGAAAGAGAGAGAGGGGAGGAGGTATACCTTTAATAAAAAAAAATTAGGTGATAAGTAACATTGCTCTAATTGCTTTTTAAACTCTAATATTATTGTTAACAAGTATATCACTCCTATCCCTACTAGCTATGCTATAAAATTTTTTGGCAAATTTAATTCTAACAAAACACTTAACTTTAATACTAACTATTCTAATCTTTTATATTTAATTATATTTTTAAAACTAAGTATCTCCTCTTTATATTCTAGTATTAATATTTTTGCTACCTAAACCTTCTGTTTAGTTTCCTAGCTCTGCTTCTAACATGTTACATGCTATAGCTATTTAAAATAATAATTAAAATAATTTTAATTTTTATACTAATAGTTCTATTAAAAATTTAAACAATTCTTAATGCTTTATAGGTATTAGGTGATTACAAATTAACAACATATGATACAATATATTTTTTAAACTCAAATTAAACTCTAGCTTTGCTTTTTTGAAGCCAAACTTTTAGCAATCTTGTCAGCCATCTCTACAGTTTCAAAAAACTCTATTATTAATATTTATACTGACTTTCAATTAGTTATTTCTAAATATAACAGCCTCCTATATTTTAATATAGCTTTAAATTTTTTAAATACTCTATACTAGTTTATTTGGAATACACTTTTAAATCTTTTCTTTTCTTTAAACTTTTCAATTACTTTCTACAAAGTTCTAGCATACCAGAACAATAAACTTAATAACAAGGCTGATAAACTAGTCCACAGCTACTCCAACTTACCACTTCTTATCTTCAACCTTTACAATATATACAATTCTTTATTTATTCTTATTTTTAATAATTATATACTTGAACTTCTTATTTGCTGAAATATTCAAACTATTTGCAATACTAATATTTTTACACAATGGTTCTTTCAATATTATACACAATAATAGGCCTTTTTTTCTCCTGATATTCACTAGAATATCACCTAGCTTTATTTCAATAACAACTAGAAAGTCTCAAACTTTGTATATAGTTTTCAATCTTCTACTCATAAAATATTTAAAGTTAAGTTATTGCTTGATGATTTTTCATCTCTATATATTCTTTATTAAAGATATTTCTCTTACTCAAACTTCTATTATATCTGTTAACAACCCATCTATGCACTATGCTAGGCTACTTGTCTTTTTTCTGAGCTATTACTAACTCTACTTAATATCTCTTAACAATATAACTTAACTTCTAGCAAACTTTAAATTTCATGTACTTAAATACAACACCTTCTAAACCAAATCAAGAACCTTAATAGTTTACAAATTTATTTATTTAGTTTCAAACTATTACTGTTCTTTACAATTTTAAATCTTATTTTACTTGATATTATAAATACATTATAAAAATATACCTCTTCTAATAATATTATCTGCTTTTTTACTATCTAATTTTTTTTTTATCTAAATCAACAAATTTATACAAACATCTGAATTTTTTACTATATCTTAAGATTACAATTTAACCCTGCTCCAAACAATAGTAATAATACTATTTTTGTTAATAATGCTCCCTCTAGTTCTAGTTTTATCTTTTCTTCTAATAATACCTTTAATTTTACTATATCTAACTCTCTTTATAAAGTAGAAACTTGGTATTCAAACTAGATCAAATTCTCTTCACACCTCTCTCTTATTTTTACCTATTTCCAAATCTAAATAAGCCTTAACCACTCTAGTAGATTTAGGCTATAGATAAGTATTTAGATTTATTTAAATATATATCTAAGTTCTTTTTTTTTAGTTTTAAATTTAAATAATAAAATCTTTTCTAGCTATATAAAAAGTTTTTATTAAATTTAATAAAAATAAGAGCAAGGCCTCATCTTTAATATTTTTTTAAAAAAAAATTAAAGGCTTCTTAGCCTTAAAACCAAAAAATTATACTTTTTTCTAAAACTGCTTTCTAAACTTAATTTCAAGTTTAAAAAAAGTTAAAAAAACTTGTTTTTTTTTATTATAACAAGCTATAAAACATATTTATAGTATTAAAACTAACCAAGATTAGTTTAAGTTTGGTTTAGTTTAATTAAACTTTAATTTTTTATTAAATTTGAACTTGAACTAAACTTAAATATAACAAAAGTTTGGTTTAATATTTAGTTCAAAGTTTATAAACATGTTTAGTTTAGTTTTAATTTAAAATATATATGTTTATTTTTAAGTGCTAAACAAGTTTATTTAGAGTATAAAGTTAGAATTAATTAGTAAAATTTTTTTTTTTTTTTTTTTCGGTATTAAGGTGACCTCCTTGGCCTGGGGACTTTTTATTAGTAATTATTAGTTA